GAGTCCATCGGAAATAGAAATACCATTCCTAATACTCCCAGAGGACCGAGGGACTTCAGGAAAAGTGCTGTGGTGCTGAGCAGAGCAGAGGGGCAGGCAGCGGTGGTGATGAAACACCATCCCTGAGAAGTATCAGCCACAGCTGGCCTTAACATGGACGTGTTATTCAAATTGATATTATCTGGGTGGTCCATGAAACCTCAATGTATGGGCCTAGACTGGTGCCTCGTGGAAGTGAAAGCAAATGCTCCCTATAGGAATACATTTCATCCTAGGCCTCGAGGAATTACCATCAATAATTTTCCAAGGAAAATAAGCAGCTAACAGTAAACAAACCCACAAACCACTAGTTGCCCAAAGAAACAAAGCACCATGATTGACATTCATCAGGGGAAAAAAAGCTCAGAAAGCAGAAATAGGCCCATAGAAACTTCACTGCATTTATCAGACACAAAACTGAAACTACGATTATTATGTTTAAAAAAATAAAAGAACTTGAAATTATACGCAGTGAACAAGAAAATACAAAGAATTACCAATGATATTTAAAGGAGAACTAAATGAAAATTTTAGATATAAGAATATCATAATTAAAATTAAAACTCAATAAAAAAAAGTCTAAAAGCAGATTTGGCACAGCTGAAAAGAGAATGAATACAAAAATAGACTAGAAGAGATATTCCAGAATGCTGCACAGAGGGACAATGAGATGAAACAGGAATGGCAGACAAAGAGGCAAGAAGGACAAAGGGAGATGGTCTAACATTTAATTAGAGTTTTAGAAGGACAGGAAAGAGAATGGAGCAGAGGTAATATTTAAAGAGATGAAGGGAACTGATGAAAGATATTGAACCACAGGAGTCCAGTAAATCCCAAAGCAGAAAAATTAAAAATAAATTCCATCTAACACATCAGAGTGAAACTACAGTGCACAAAACAGAGAGAATATCTTAAAAGAAAAGACAGACCCCTCTTAAAACTGTAACAAATGGGCTGACCACTGACTTCTTAATAACAAGAACCAGAATAAAATGAAATGATTTGCTGGTTGCCACATCTTAGCAAGCACCAAAAAACTAACGCAGTTTTTAAACTGATATATACATAAGGAAAATCACAAAATCCAATGCTTCTGCACACTGTGTTATGTTACCGTCCAGTTTTGTGTGCTTTACGACACAATTTGGTTACAGGACTTCTGTGCATTGTAAACATACGCCGCATGGAAAAGGTTAAATGTCTGTGTGCAGATTGTATGATCTAGTCTGAACTTGCTGTGTATATTGTAACGTTAAATGAAAAAAGAAAAAAAAAAGAAATGATATATTCATCCAATGAAAGTAACCATTGATCTAGAATTATGTACTAGCAAAGAGTAAAGAATAAGTCAGAGACAGCTTCAGATAAAGCAAATCTGAAACATTTGCCATCAGCAGATTCTCACTAAAGCAAAGTCTAAAGGATGTACTAGGCACGAGGAAAATGATCCCAGGAAAAAACATGAGAAGCAAGACGCAGTTCAGAGCAAAGGCTGGGTGGGCAGCTTGCACCTGTGGGCCCAGCTACTCAGGAGGCTGAGGTGGGAGGGTTGCTTGAGGCCAGGAGTTCAAGGGTGCAGTGAGCTATGATTGCACCCCTGCACTCCAGCCTGGGTGACCAGGTGAAAAAGGAAAGAAGAGAGCAAAGAAGTGGCAAATATATGGGAAAAATCTAGACAAACGCTTACTATAGAAAATAGAAAAAACAATGACTTATATGGTTAAAATATAAAATTAATACAACAAAAAATAATGATTAACTTGTAGAATGTTACACAAGTAAGCTATGATAACTCTTAAAGTTTCAGAGGATGTGGTATCTGTGTAAGAATAAAAGAAAAGGGAATAATGGAGGGGAAGAATGGAATGTGAAAATCAAGAAAAGAAACAAAAAATGAACAAAAGAAAACACAAAATAAGATCATGGAAACAAATCAAATTATTTCAGTAATTACAATAAACTAACTGTTCCAGTAAAATGACAAGGATTGTTAGAATGGATTTTAAAAATCCAGCTGTCTGTTGTTTACATGTGACATGTCGAAAGCATTAGGATATAGACAGATTTATAAGTAAGAGCATGGAAAAAGATATGTTGTACAAATACTAATCGAAATAGACTTTAAGACAAGAAAGTATTACTACAGATAAAAAAGGGTCACTGCATAGTGATAGAATGTTCAATTTCATCTGGAAAAGATAAAAATTAATTCTAAACTTTTAGGTCAGCTAATTCCATGTTAGGCAAGGATGTGGGAATATGCTCTGCTGCTGGGAGTGTCCACTGTTCCTTAGAACCTGGCAGCGAAATGAGAATGTAGCCACCTTAGGATGTCATATATGTAATGTGTACCAAGAGATTCTAGCTTGGGCCTATAAGGGGCCACTGGAGTGTTCACTGCAGCGGGCAGGTGGAAGCAGTGAAGTCTTCAGCAGGGCTGGAGAGGAAAAATGCAATGGAAACATAACGTAGAATTCAATGCTGCAGCTAGAAACAATGAACTGGATGTAAGCACAGCAACATAAATGCAACTTGAAATAATAAAACAGGATGAACTCTCAGGCTCAGTACTGTTTAAGTGAAATAAACAATAACATGGTGTACATCCATTTTTAAGGACATGTATTCAATTAGACTTGGTGCCTCTGGGAGGGAGAGGAATGTGAGTGGGGATGGGGTCATAGGGGAGAAAAATAAAACAAGAGAGGACTTTGGACATGAATGTGATTAACCAACTCCATGCACCTGAGATTTCCCATCCCTCTCCCCACACCCCCTCCCCACCACTCCACCTCAAATAAACCTTTGCCTCTTGCTTAAATCCAGTGAGACTTAAGGATTTGAAGGGTACATGTTAGGGCTTAAGACAGCTATAGATTCTGAATGTTACACATGGTGGGTGTAGCAACTGTGAGTTGTCTCCAACATGTATTCTCCTCTTAATTCCTTAATAATACACTCCTAGTGGACAGGTACATCTATATTATTAATTTCTGGCCAGTGTTGAATAGGACTTCCGGGAAGGTTAGTTAAAAGGGAGGGGGCATGTGCCATTTTGTCCTCCTCTACTGTTGGCTTGGAATGAGGACTTGATGGCTGGTGCCCTGGTGCCATCTGGGACCATGAGGCAATCTTGAGGATGGAAGCCACATACTGAGAAAAATAGGAGCTGGGATCCTGATGATCCATGAAGCTGCTATACCAGACCTTAAGGACCCACATCTGGCCTTCTTTTATGTGCGAGAGGAACACACTTCTATCATATTTAAATCATTATTATTTTGGAGTTTCCTATTATATGAGGCCAAATATTCTCCTAACTGCTAAGTTCTGAATAAATATGGAATTGGAGATAATTTCATTTCTTCCTAATCTACCATCTCTTAGAAGAAACCAATTTGGGTTAAAAAAAAAAAAGAGTAGTAGTCATACCTTTATTGAGATTTAATTCTTAGGATTTTAAAAAAATATTGAAGAACCATATCAAATAAAGTATAAAATAATTTGGAGTGGACTTTGAAACAAAGCAGAGGTTCGGCAGCAGGCCCTGAGGGCACAGCCTCAGATTTCAGCACAGAGCTGGCGATATCTTGCTATACACACTTTAGTTGGATGTGTACATAGAATGAATGGACATGATCTTAGGGACAGGTGGCTTTGCTGACGGATAGCTGCCAATCGGTCTGATAGTGCAGACAGAGCTCTAAGTAAGCACTTCCATTAATTCTATTACTAACCACAGTAACCTGATGACTAGACAGACTTTAAGGATGAGAGGTGATTTAGTGGGCTGGAAAACTCCTGACTGAACAGGAAGCAGACTTTACTAATTAGTGATTTTTCTTCCACTTAATTTTGTATCTTTTGATCCCGTTGAGTTTGTCAAGGCCCTTTCCTGGCTTAGGAAAACAGGTTAGGCAACCTTAGAGAAGTGTATTTAATTAGCATTAGTGACGGTGGCAGGTTTGTTAAGCCAGGAAGCCTCCAGAATTAAAATGCTTGAAATTACTCACTGGACCATTGTCACAAGCATCAGGCTCATCAACGCTCTTTGCTGAAAGAAGTCTTCCTTTCCAGACCTACAATTTGAGATCTCTTTTGGCTTAGCAATTCACAGTCTTCCAGATGTAATTTTATTAAATATTTAAAAATAATCTGCATGTTTCATCATTACAAAAGAAATACATGCTCACTGTAGAAAACTAATATTCAGACAGGTAAAAACAAAACAACACATAAAACAAAGCAAAACCACAGACAATCCGACCTCCCTAAAGATAACCAGTCTTAACCCCTTGGTGTTTTCATACCTCTTCTACAGTGTGTGTTGTGTGTGTGTATGACTTTTAACCATAAAGGCAGAATATGAAGTTTTAATAAATATAAAGGCAATAATTAATGAAATACAAAGCAAAAATCAGCAGACTTGATCGGTACAGCCAAAGGCTTATTCTTGAAAAACACCAATAAAATAAGTAGAACTTTGTTGATTTCATCTAGAGAAAAAAAGAAAAACACAAATGAGCAACATTTGGGATAAGACCAAGGACATAACTAGACAGACGAAGGAGAGTAAAAATCTAAGAGAATACAATATTTGTAAATGTGTAAGAATGCTACCAAAAAACTTCTGAAAAAATGCTTAGTGACTGGTGGACACATGTGGAAGGCATCTACTAACAACGAGGAATCCACCCCATTTAATTTGGGCATGTTTATCTCAAGATCAAGATCCCAGGTATAGCCCTGGGCAGGCGGGTAATGCACGAAGAGGAGGGTGGCCACCGGTATGGAACCAAGGGTTGGGGGCAGTTCCCCTGCATCAGGTGGGCTGTTCATGTGCAGTGAGATGGACCTTGACATGCTCCTTAATATGCATGTTGTATTATACTAAAACCCAATTTTCAAAGACTTAAAAAGTTGTTATTAACAAAGAAACTACAGACCGAACTTCTGAATCATTTGCAGACATTTTTTTATTCCAAACATGTATCTTTGTAAACCTGGCATTTCCCAAACAGTGCAAGTGAATAGAAGTGACTGCATAGACTTCAATACATGTGACATCATGAGGTGGAACACCCCCTCCCCCCCAAATTCCTCAATGGAAATGTACATGGATGCATCAGTAATGTTCTAGAAGTGCAGATAGCGTGGGTGCCTGCCATGCAATTAATCACTCTTAAAGCTTTTAAGCTCACTCTGTCCATCACATCGTGCACATTAGAATTAAAAAAAAAAAAACTTTAAAGTCTGAAATCTAGATCATTGTGCTATAAAGCATTGCACCATGTTGGGAAATTTGTTCATTATCCTTCCCATGTGCTGAAAAATCAGAAGACATTCTAGAAGGTTCATTTTGGCCCTACTGGCTCTGTATCCTCCCTTCGGCCATTCTTTGTTTCATAAAATATTCTCCACTGTGTATATTATTACTCTATATATCAAAACAAAACATCAACTAAAACTGTGCATACTTGAAGCATTTCTGAAAAGACACTCACTTTCTGCCTTTTGTCTGCTGAAGGCCACAATGACAATTCTTTGCAGCACCTCTAAACTTCAAAGAAATCTGAACCAAGCATACATTTCACCAGGTGTACATTTCATGTGTAACCCAGGCATAACTGCATTCACCTGGCCATAATGCCTTACCCAAAAATAAAAGTTGTAAATAACCTTTCAAAAAATCTCCATGCTGGGGTTCAACACGTAGCATACAGCACATGGGGCGTTTGGAGGATCTGCTACACTTCCACATGAAAAACAGGTCCGAGGTGTTCCCGGGAGTGATACTGGGTTTTTGTTTTTAACCTCCTTGCCTTTGACTCAAGGACTGTAGGCTATACACGATTTGGTGAAGGAGGACTGTCTACTGGGCTTTCTACAAAGTTTACCAAATCTCTGAGTACTGGTGGTGCTGACTGAGGATTCCTGAAGACCTGCCAGGGGATGGGTGCTTGTCAGTCCCCATCGAGCTGGCGGCCCCTGCCCCCTCCTGCTGGTGTCCCCTTGTATCTAAACCTCTGGCCTCTTCTTTGTGACAGGTCCAGAACTTCAGGGATGTTCAAAATTCTCTCGAGTCCTATGTAAATTGAGCATAAGCAAATCTCCTTTGAAAAAGGGGTATTATTTTACTCAATTTTTACAAAGGTCCTTTTTCCTATTTAAAAAGTTTCCCAATCCTCTGACAGTTGGTTAAAACCATATAAATATGTAACTAAAAGCTGAAGCAAACTGAAATAATGCTGCCCGAGAGAACATCTTACAGGATTCCGCAGCAGACCCAGAGAAGCGGGGAGGGTAGAAAGTAGAACTCACTGTGCAATCTTGAAAGACTGTCCTGGGGAGGGAACACAGACATGCCAACCCACCTGCCTGCTTCCCTGAGAGCGTACTGAGGGCTTCTCAACTGGGATGGTGCAGGTGAACTGCCCAGGTTGAAAGAGCTCTAACAATATTCTTGGCTTCTTTCTTTATCATTGTGCTAAATGGTTAACTCCACGGTCCTTGGAGCCCTGCCTGTGACTCAGCAGGATCGGACGAGCAGAGCACCGTCCTTACCCAGACAGGTTCCTGGGCTGGCCGCCAGCATTTGCTGCTGGTGTTGCCAAGTACGGTTTCCTTAAAAACTGCCTCATGAAGTCTTTGTGACCTGGATGCACAACCACTCGTGTGGGTTTCCCATGCAGAGTCAAATGGATCCCGATTCTGAGACAGCCCACAGGAGTCCACCCTCTCTGAAATGGGGCTTTGCCCTCTGGCTGGCAGAACTGTGGGCCTGTGAGTCACCCTTCTACACTGTCACAAGAGGCACCTGTACTCCTTGCAGGAGGCAGGTTAGTGGCTATAAATACGTTAGGCCAGAGCTGCTGATGGAGCGGCTCCGGGATCTACCACCTAAGAATCCTAAATAATATATTAAAAGAAAACATGACACGATTAACAAGAGTCCATCAAAGGAAAGTGGCAAATGGGGTCCCATTTTTAAAAATCCACATTGTACATGCCATTGCAAGAGGCTTTGCCACCCTAAGGCAAAATGTGCCTGTGGTATTCTCCAGAGAACCTCTAGCACCTAGCACACTGCCTGACACACAGCAGGCACCCCATAAACAGCTGTTAAATGAGTGACTAAAACCCACCCAAGACTGCTTTTCTTATTGCTTTTGATAAACCTCATAAACAGACTCAGAGTGAGAGCTGGTTTCTTTGCCTGATCTGGCCCTGTAGCTCCTGCTGTGCCTCCATTCACAGTGAGAAGCAACGTCCCCGACTTCTAGGACCAGCTTAGTTCATGCCACTGGCCCCCTGACTTTGTTGTCTATTCCCACGTTCACCAGGAAGGAAGCCTAACTTACTATCTTTCTGCAGCAGGATCAACTGCATAGTAATAAGAAACCCAAAAACACACATACACACACTCCATGCCAGGTTTGCACCTGCCCAGCACCCTCATAATTCTGCCAAAATTTTAGATATGTTTGTATTAGCCAAGTATGTGTATGGAAAACCTGTCTCCCCTAAAGTTGAGTTCTGTGTCCTTTAACAATGTTCACAGACTGTCAACATGTTAGCTTTCAGTAAACATAAGAAAGATCCTTGGTCTTATGTAGTGTTTTATTCCCACTAGATGCCATCTGTGTGTAGCTCGGCTTTGGCAGGCTGCACGTAACAAGCCGTTCAGACTCTTCATTAGACGCTGCTCTCAGCCCTGTGTTTTCTGCTTATTAGATGGTTACCCAGCAGTGGCAACAGCAGCCATGGCTGCGAACAGTTACTGAGTGATCACTATGGGCTGGGTGCAGTGCTGAGCATGCTACATCCATCATCTCACTGCCCTTTTAGAAAATCACACCACACTCAAAACGGGGCAGCACAGTGCATCTGATAACATGTCTACTGTCAAACAGAGAGCTGGGGTATGGAAGGCTGCAACTCCGCATTCACACGTGCAGGGCGTGGGAGGACATCAGTGCTCTGCTCAGATCTGTTTACATCATTTCTGTATGTCTCCCAGGTTGGGGGTGCACCTGTGGCTTTTCTTTAGAGGACCATCTCTGAGCTCCTGGGGCCATTCTGCCGGCAGGAACTGAGAGCAGAATGTTTACATCTCCCCTGGGTGCAGGAACAAGAAAGCCCGGCTCCCTTGCCTCAGGTTGGGATTACTCTGAGGCCCAACTTACCCTCCAGAGCTCCCCTGATCAGGCTGAAGCTGCTCCATGGAACTTTCCCTGACATGGCACCTTTGCCTGGCTTCCTCCCCTCCCCCATCGTGCTTCCAGGGTCCTTTACTGGTATCCCCCAGGGGCACTTCCTTAGTAAGTTACTTGCACACAAATCCTTCTTTCAGGGTCTGCTTCTTGGGAACCCCACCTAAAACACTTTTTTAAAAAAAAGTTGAATGGTCATCTCTGGGAAGGAATCTGCAATTACCACTAGCTGGGACAGCAGAGTGGGAAGGAAAATGGAGACCTGTGAAATAAAATCACCGTGAAAATGCAATGCCTCCCAGCATACACACCCAAGTCTTTGCCTGAGGGGCACGGATTTAGTCCTCGTGGTGTGTGAACTCTGATGCATGACATCCAGGATGAGACGCCATTCTGAGGTTTAGCAGATGACCCACTGGTGGTGCTCCAAGCTTTCATCCATCAACCCAGGCAGGGAGAGGTGAGGTGTCTGCTGTATAAAGGTGACGCAGAGCAGACTTGCTGCTAGCATTCCATCCAAGTTCGTGTTGGGAATCTTCCAATGAAAGGTCCATATGAAAAAACACTTACAGTGCTTTAGCACACTTTAGTGCATGACTCCAAACTTGACTCCAGGCAATAAAGACGTGAAATGTCTTAGGGGTCCTGCCACATCCACAGTTTATATGCACCACTGCCAGCTTGGTGGATTCATTACATGAGGTTTCTTCAGCTTATTTTATCCGCAAGTCTTTTTAACAGCAAGTTCCAAAATACAATAAGATTTTTATCCTTTAAAATTTGTAAATTCATGTATATGTACTTCCAAGATTTTCAGCCAGATGTCAGTGCTTGAATGAATTATATAACTATTTAATAGAAATAATAAAACATTGATACAAATATAAAGACATAATCAGTATAAAAGGCTTATATTTATAAAAATACTTTTAGGTAACAGTTTTCCCCTGAGGGTTGACCATGCACGTTGCATCCATAAATATTGCTCGGCTCTCTAGCTTGCTTTCCAGAGTTCAGAGTTCATCTTTAAAAGAAAGTGGTGGTGGCTCTGGTCGTGTGACCTGGCCGCAGTGGCTGCCGCAGGCTGGCACCTGGGCTCGACAGAATGAGGAAGAGAACAGCATCAGTGGGGCCTCCGAAAAATCTGGAGAAGATTTTTTTTCTTCCAAATATGGAAGATACAAAGATCAAGGATGACAGGCTAGTGATCGGGTCACATGACCGGTGTGGCAGCTCACTGGTTTTTCTGGACCAAGTCCCAACTGTCTTCGCTCTCTTTCCGGTTCTTTTCAGCTTCAATAATTTCTTTGTACCTTCGGCGAAAGAATCCCATCTGAAAGGCAGAAAGAGGACAGGCTGGGTTAGGAATGCGAGCGAATCCTCCACGGGGCTTCCAAGATAGCCTGGCTGTGAGTAGGGCTCCGAGGGGCTGCAAGGCACAAAATGCATGCACTTTCTGCGGGCTAGCTTAACAGTAAGTTGTTTGTTCCTTGTGAAATGCTTCTGGTGTAGTGTTTCCCAAACTGCGTGCTGGGGAACACTAGTTAATGAGAGGTGTTTGGGAGTGAAAAAAGGTTCCATGGCCAAATAAGTGTGGGAAATGCTTCATTCTTTTGTTCTTTCTTTTAGAGATTTGTAACATACAGCAGAACAGTAAAGGATCTAATAACTCTGGTGGGGAAGAAACCCGGGGACCTGACATTTCCCATGCTTATTTGGCTTTTGATAAAACTATTACCATCCTGACAGATATTAGCCATCTGTGGAATAATTTGATAAATATTGTTCTCACATGGTAAGCCTTTTTAAGCATCTGCAGGTCCATGTTCTACCTTGCTGTCATCTAGATCTTTCTCTCGAACCTTGGAATCCATGCTGGGTGCACCACAGTGAGCAGCATGTACTCATCAGGAATTGGGGTTTCAACCTCATCCAGGATGGCAGTTTCCTTTACCTTAGTTCTGAAAAGACCCTCCCTCTGACACTGAGTTTGGTTTTATGACTTGTCACATATGCTAAGATGATCTTCTAGTTTTTCTTCCACAGTCATCACAGGCACTACCAGCAAACATAGAAGCAACTTTTTGTTGCCCAAAGCTTACCTTTTCTCCCCGGCTCAGGGAGAGCTGGCATCTCTCATCCTTTGCTCACCAGCATTAGCGGTCTGTTTCTGAGGTCAGACATCCCTCCCTGCAGCTGGCCTTAAGCATGACGGACCGTAGTGGGTGTAGGAACACCCCAGCTCCCTCTCTCCTTGGAGGGGACAACCCCGAGGTGTGTGTTCTACCAGAGCTTCCCGGTGGAACTTGCCGGCAGAGGTAACCAGACTGACAACACATCCTTCATTGGCTTCCTTCCCTTCCCTGTCTTACTTCCCTGCCCTCCAACATTGTTTCCTGAGATTATCTCCTAAATAAACTACTTACACCTAAATCCTAGTTTCAACCTCCTTGAATATGGGAATTCAAACAGACATACACTGGATCTGCTGCTGGCAAGCCCGCTGCACTGCAGGTGCATGGAACTGCATTATCATTAGCTTGTAATTCCCAGAGTCGTATCTGAAAACCCTTAAGACTAGTAATCTCTGCAGTCTGTTGCCAACAGTGAGAGCACATATAAGGCATGCCCACAAATCATGAAACCCAGCTCTCGTGGGCACATCCAATGTCTTGCTGTCTGTGTATTTGTCCTTGGACTTCTTCACTGTGAGCCAAGTATCCAGGGAGGCACCACAGTCACCCCGATGGCCATGAGCTCCCTCACAGAGGGGAAAGCAGGTGGAGATCAGGAATTGTCTTACTGCACCATCTTCCTACCCACTTCCTATCCAGTATGGGCCACTGGCCTAGCCAGAGATGAGAACTGTCAAGAGAGCTCCGAGGTAGCTCCACTCACATTGCCAAGGACACCCTAAGCATTCGCTTTGAGTGGAGTCAACAAGGTGGTCCAGTTTGAACAACTGGGAAGGAACAGCTTTCTTAGAACAACTGGCAAGTCTTGTGTTCTGAGCTTCAATCCTCAAGGCCAGTTTTGTAAGCAGACATTGAGTTCCTGGTGTCTTCCGCCTTAGAGGTTTCTTCCCAGGGCCACATTCATCAGAACCCCATGTTCTGACACCTCCACACATACACTTTTCTCTCCTCAAACCTCTATCACTTCTCCCCTCTGCAAGGGACGTGAAAAGGGGGCTTGGCCTGAATGTTCTGGATAATTAGGAAGAGTCACTGTTGTCACCCCCACAGCAGCCCAGAGAATCAGATCAAGACTTAATGGAAATGTCTAAGAAGCTACTGCTTGAAATGTCATTCTTTAGAGATAAAATGTGGCTGGTCACATGCATCTCCTGTGTTGAGGAGAACATAATCATGAAACTGTGGCTGGACATGACAGGGAATAAGATTCTTCTTTAGCAACAGCTTTGGCTGCTGATGGTGTAATGTTCCCAAAATCCCAGGCTACCCAGTTTTAATTCCAGAGATGTAACATATCCCTACTGTGGCACCAATCAAGTAGAATTTTATCAGTCTGCTTCCTTAGGATCTTCTGCATGTCTTAGGACTCCTAGAGGCAGGATTTGTGCTTTTTATCCCCAGCAGTTCCTGTCTCACCCAGACTTGGTACCAGTGACGAAGTGCAGAAATGTCCACAACCCTTCCTTCCCGCCATGTCCACGTAACTCTGTAGCTAGTCCCATCATCAAGTGGAGTCTGTTTTCCCAGCCTTGAATCTCTGCTGAGACTTGTTTCGACAACTGGATAATAGGGAGGTGATGCTGTCTGTTCCACACTTAGGCCCCAAGGGGCCTTGTACACTTCCAGTTACTTTCTCAGAACTCTGCCCTGCCTGCAGGCAAACAGGCTAGTCTAGCCTGCTGGAAGATGAGAAGCCACCGGCTGAGTCCCTCCCAGACCAGTGAACCCCTAACTGCTTGCAGGTGCATGTGTGAATCTGGCTGAGACCAAAGAACTGCCCAGTTGAGCTCGGTCCAAATCACCAACCCACAGAATTGTGACCTACACAGCTGGATGTTGTTTTTAAGCTACTAAACTTTGGGGTGGTTTGTTATGCAGCGTAAGTTGCCTGGTACAGAACTTGATTGTTTTTGCTCACTTCCTGCATGAATCAGAGGGGCAGCTGACAGGGTTCTAGACATAAGGGACATCAGTGTGCCTTGTCTTGCTGAACCAGGCTTTTCATGTTATCAGTAAAGTGAAGGCACCATGGTCTCTTGCAGACATCTGGGGTGAGCTCTTTTAGTGGAGTGGGGTCAGCATTAGGTCTGAAAATCACCCTCCCACCTCGCCCTGACCCCCAGCTGGCGGTACCTGTAGAGCTGCTCTCAGAAACAGTGTTGCAAACTGTATGCCCCACCCCAGTGCTACAGTCTTGATTCCTGTTCCCAACACAAGCTGGGTGTGTAATCTCTTGGATGAGAGGTTAGAGCTGCCACTGATGTCTTTCTTACTTATTTGGAGCCCAAAGAATGATTCTTAAAACGTAATGCACTTTCATGGCTAGGAAGTGGTGGGTACAGTAGTGCAGGCTGTGCACTGCATGTAAGAGGGTAGGGGTGTGCCACTCACATCACAGATACCATAGATACGTAAATTGATTACAACTCTTTTCCAACAGATGGCAGTAGAGTGTCTCATTCTAATAAAATCAGTAGATTTTTCTGAATTTTCGGAGAGATTTTCTGAATTTTCTGACAGAAGTAAAGGGTTTTGAGGAAGGGGTGCTGTTTTACTAGTCTTTACAAGGTGCCATTTGGTCTAATGGTGACCCTATCAAACTAATATTGTTTCTTATATGATCAAACTACTTATATTTCAGAAAAGGAGGATGTCTCCCTTGTGCTTTTGCTTAGAGCCTAGTTTTGGCTTTCGGTACGGAGCCCATTGACAGAGAGCACTGGTCCCCCTGCAAACAACTGTCACACAGGCTTGTCCAGTGCCACAAGGGTCTGCTCAGAAGAGGTCTGTGGAAGAGATGTGGTGTAAGGAGCCCAGAATCCTGATTACTACTCATGCTCCGACTACTACCCTCTGGGCCATGAGGAAGGTCATTTTCTGGCTCTGAGCCCCAGTGTCTCTGTCTCTGCCCGAGAGATCAACGGCGTTCTCAGACCTCTTCCAGCCCTGAAACATGATGACAGCTTTTCCTGTTGTCCCCAAAGTGAATTCAAGGCCATAGACTGTGGGCCTCATAGCTGTGTATGCAGGATTCAGGGAACAAGGCACTGAGCCCTTGTCCGGTGTCGATTTTTCTCAAAGATTTTTGGAAAATTTTTTGAAAATTCGATTTTCAAAATTTTTATCAATTTTTGAGAGAAACAAGTAAAACATAGTTTAATAATTTTTAAATGATTATGAGGTCTTTGAATTCATAAAACACATGCAGTTATGTTCACTTTTTAAACTTTTACAGTCTTTCGGATTACAGGATTTCAACATGAATTTTACCAGTGTGGGAAGGAGGCAAGCCTTGGAGGAGTGGAACAAGTAGCTCTCTGTCAGACGTCTCATAAGCGTCAGAGTTAGGGCCTTCACGTGTAAGTCTAGGACTCTTAACTCCTGTAACGTAGTGACTGTCTGACAATCTCATCAGGAATGGAAAAAATATCAATCCTTTTTTTAAAAAGTCAAAACAAACAACCCTCAAGAACAAGTCACCTACAGTAATCTCTGCAGGAAATGGAAAGAGCATGTTGTCCTCTAAGCCCCCTGTAGGCATAATATTGTTCTCAGTAGGTGTCGATAACTACAGATCAACAAACGAAGAACAGATCTTCCTTGCTAACATTTTTTAATAGAATGTCCATTAGGAACGAGGAAGTGAAAAACTAAATTCAGCCAGGTTTTCCCATATCCCTGAGTAACATTACACTGAAGACAATGACTCTGAATTTGATCATCTAACAAGTACAGACGGTGCCTGACTTAATGATGGTTTGACTTAGGATTTTTGACTTCATGATGGGTTTATCAGAGTATTAAATGCATTTTCAACTTACGATATTGTAGGTCGAGGAGCATCTGTAGCATCTTAGCACACGTGCCAGAGGAGACCCATGAGGCCCCGCACTCTGCCACATATGTCACTTCACAGCCAGTTCTACCTACTCCATCGGGACCTAGGTCCCCCCTCCACTTGGGCAGTTAGCACACCCCAAAGTTAAGCAGGCCTCCCTCAGACACACGCCGGCTCCTGTTAGTGCTCATGGGTACCTCGGGGAAAACCGGGATGTGCTGGGCAAATCCCTCTTTTGCTGCCAGTTGAGCCCACCCTGAAGGTGCTGGGAAATGATGAGCTAAGCTGGACCCTCAGCTG